ATTATTGCTTCTGTAGTTATATTATCCTTTAGCTAACTGTTCAAATCTTTACAATACAAGAAATTCATCCAACTATTATTTAATAAAATATAAGGTAAATTACACGTTTAATATCTAAACTAATAGTTTTAGTCCGTTTTAGTACCTAAACATTTATTTTTTTCTAAAACCATACCTAACGTTTCATTTTTGTTTCATTTTAGTATCATGTCGTTAAAAAACTTAACGGACGAGCTCGTCGGCCTCCGCGTCTATAGGCTTCGGTCGTCATATATGCCGTCCAATGAAGCCCAATCTTTCTAATCCCCACCTTTCCAAAGTGATTTCGGCCTCCGTTTCATCAAAAAATGTCTTAATCTCCCTAAATAGACGATGCATTCTACAATTTTTTTATTTTTTGATCTCCGTCGTCAACCGTCTGATGGGCCTGAAACTTTACTTTGTTGGTTGTCTCATCATTCTCTTGTGATTCACTGTTTGGATTGGTCATCCGTCCAACAAAGCTATACCCGTTAGCTCGTCCGTTAAGTTTTTGATGATGGATACTAAAGTGAAACAAAAACTAAACATTAAGTATGATTTTGAAAACATCAAAAGTTTAAGTATTAAAACACATCAAAACTGATAGTTTATATACTAAATTAGTAGTTTAGCCTAAAATATAATATATTATATACATACTACATTCTTTACTCGTCTTAAGGGGGAAAATGCACTTTAAATCATTGGGAAAAGAAAAGAAGACAAGTCCCCCACGACTGTCTAATCAAGTTTTGAGTGATTTAAAACATAAAGCAGATTCTTAGCCTCTTTGGGTAAATATAAAGAAAGTTTTGAATGTGGAATAATATATATACACTAATATGATCCACAAAGATTCTATGTTATGTAATTTGCTGTAACATAGGAGCAAATTATGCATTTAGTATATTAACTATTAGTTTTGGTCAATTTTAATACTTAAACTTTTAATTTTTAAAAAATCATACTTAACGTTTAATTTTCATTTCATTTTAGTACTCTGTCATTAAAAACTTAATGCGTTAACTACCTAAATAATCATTTTTTGTCTATTTTAGTACCTAAACCTTCAACATTTTCAAAATTCAACACTAAATTTTGAATGGGGTATTAAAATAAAAGATTTTAACGATGGGGTAGTAAAATGAAATAAAAACTAAACTTTAGGTATGATTTTGGAAAAAAATGGAAGTTTAGGTACTAAAACGAACCAAAACTGATAATTTATATACTAAACGCGTAATTTATCCCAAAAAATTGAAGAATAATCCAACAACTATTTTTTTATGCAAATGAAAACTATTGATTTTATTTAAAAAGTGGAAATACCCATAATTATAATAAAAATTTTACAACCATAATAGTAAATTAAATACTTAATTATGACATATTTTTATAACTATTAACATAGAAAATCAATCCCTTAAGATTAGAAATAACATACAAGAAAAAGATTAAAAACATATCCCTGTTATTGATTCCATTCAATGGGTACAACAACGGAATGAATGGAATTTTGTTCAATATTTATCCATTGTCTTTATTGCTTTGTTTATATGTACAAGACACGAATATAAAAGATTACGAAGAATAAATAATAGTTTAAATAAGGTTTCAAATCATGGTCCGAAAACGTGATTTCGTCCGCGATATAGTGGTTTCGTCGCCGTCTGAGTTACCCACTACACCTGCTATTGTGCTCGATAGAGCCCACGACGGCCACAATCACGGTAACCCGAAATGACAGAAAACGCGACCGTGATTTGAAACCCTGAGTTTAAATCCTAACTTTTAGAGCTTTTTACTGTGTTTAATCACGCTAGACATCACATTCTCTCTTAAGTGTGTTTTGGTGTTTTGCATATGATCCTTCCAATTGTTTTTTTATTCCTGGGAGAGGATCTTTTATTAGGTTAAACACATTTTTTTATTAGCACAATATCTAATGCCCCAAAATTATGATGAAACCCCCACTTTTTTATTAATGGACCAACCAGCATTCGTATTAGACAATTAATTTCGTCGACTAATTTAAAATATTATATCACATTTCATCATACAAGGATAGTGGTGAAGTCGGGATTGATTATAAAATTGTACAAGTTAGATTAAATATCTCATGATGCCTTTGCTATGTATAGGGGCGGACCGGATGCGGAATTTTAAGTTAGGGCTGAATTTGAATTTATAGATTACGGGGATGAAATTGAATTTATAAAATTTTAGATGTCAAAAATAATTTTTTAATAAAAAAATACATAACAAAAAATCTAAAATATATAATGATTTTAAATTTTCAGGGGATGACTGTCTCCCCTCGTTCCATCCCTAACTATGCACGTAGATGGAAATGAAGCTTTCAATTTAGTGGAGTTCATAACAAATTTAAAGTGTGTTAGGTAATTTCTCTAAACAATAAAAAAGTTTAATACCCGTTTTACTCCTGTAGTGTAATAAAAATCTCATTTAGTTAAATAATTTGTTTATTTTGAGATTTGATCTATAGTTTTTACTTTTTTATTATAAATGTATTTTTATTAAATTTAAATTACACGCTCCTCAATTACTTTATAGTACACGTGTAACCTCAATTCTTAATTTTGAAAAAAAATATCTTTTATGATTTAATCCATCAATTTTGTATTTTATTCAATTTGATCCTTTGACTTTATCCTTAAAATCCCCGATTTCATCCCGTCCCAATTTTTTTCTTAAAAGAACCAATCTGCATTCAAATTTTAAAAAAAAACGTTTTTATTAGATTCAATTGAGTTAAAATCTATATCAAGTGATCATTCTTATGCATACAAAATTACCACCCCCCAACACACACAAAATAAGGAGCGAAGAAGGACACGTTCCTGTAATTTTACATTCATTACGCCGTGAAAAAGGGATGACCGAGTCTGAGACAAATTCAGTGAGGACAGGAGCGAGATCAAACGGTAATTAGAGTTTGACTGGGATCATTTTGATTTGTTCAATTAGTCGGTTCGGTTAATCAGACTTTCAAAACTTTATTAATTGATTTTTTTTCGTTTTAATCATTAACTGAATTGAAATTTTTTAGAAAATAATTAATCAAACTGGATAAAGTTTGGTTAATCGATCGGTTAACCGAATTAACTGAAATTTTGAAATAATATCGATTATATATTAAAATATTTTATTTTTTCGGTTAATTCAATTAAAACCAAAATTTAAACATTCTTAAGGCTAAGTAATGTATAAAAATATAATATATTAATATTTAATAATGTTGGTTAATTAAGTTTACCGGTTGATTTCGAACTGAATTAACCTATAAAAAAAGTTTGAAAAATCATTAGCTGTTAATCGAATGAATTTAAAATTAACCAATCGATTAACAAGAAAAACTTTGATTAAATCGATTTTAAACGAAATTTGAACACCCTATATTACCTGCTTCAATTTGACTTGGATCTTTTATCACAGTTCTTTAACCCAAAAAAAAAAAAAGTTGGCAACAATGTGTATGTAGGTGTATTACATGAAGTTTTATATATATATAAATCAATGATTGATAGGGAGTTGAAGTGTGACAAGACTCAAGTTTGCTAGATGAATTTGCTGGTCGTTGATACAATCCTACTGATTGATTTCATTTGGTCATAAATCAACTCTAATATCATTTCATGACTCATCATAGAGTTTACTGGTTTCTTTGCTTGCCTAAATGCCTACTTTGTTACCCAGTCCATGCATGGCTACGAAACAGTTCCCTATTTATTATTTTTTTTCATACGAGTAATGTGAGAGGAATTTAGGGTTTAATTGTTTTTAGGTCCCTCTAGTTTTAAAGCTAGATAATTTAAGTCTTGTTCCTCTAGTTCTTTTTGACTCGAATGCTTTTTAAATCCTCTTATTTTTGAAGTTACGTGAACAAGACAATATCCTCTCATTTTTTTTCGTACAATTACTTTTTAGGATCCTCTTAATTTTGAAACTATACAAATAAAGTCTTGGACTGATATCTTTTTTATTTTAATACATTTTAGGCCCCTTTTTAATTTAAAAGTAAACAATTCATCATTGTATTTCTATTTCTCTCAAGTTCCATCCAAATTCCGTACATGCTAGTGCCACTCATCCATCCCCACCGTAATCGCCACCATTTCCATTTGCAAATACACATCCCACTTCATAATTTCCTCTATGCAATTCAAATTTGAAATCAAGTTCGGAACATTGAAGCATAAATACCGCCGGTGGTCGACGCATGATTTTTTATTGGGAGCGAATTTGAACTTTTAAAATTTTAGGGGCGAACTTGAATTTATAAAATTTCAAGGGATAAAAACATATTTTCAATAGAAAATCCATATAAAAAATTTAAAATATATAATAATTTTATAATTTCAGATGCCCCAACCGTCCCCCTCAATACATCCCTGAATATCGCCCTCTAGCTAGTCCTGTCAAACAAAACAAGCTGAATCAATATTGATGGGAGGCAACTTAATCATAAAACTAAACCAGATGCACATGCAATATTACCCTTTTTTTTTTGCGTTAGTTCTAAAAGAAACGAAAGAACTGCCTTTGATCTAATATCCCCTGATCACAGAAGCGGCCCCTGGAATCAAAAAATATCCTAATAATAATAGTCCAAATCGAATACCATTGGATGTGGAGGACATCTTGGCTATGATTCACAAGCCCACCATGCCCCAACTTGGTCCTATATATCATTGCCAACCATGATCAAATCTCAATATCCTGTGAGAATCCTACCTACAATTTGCTACACTAATCTCACTTTAATGACATAATCCATTTGGGATTATTAGTTTAGGGTTTTTTAGAGGAAAAAAAGTGAATCCCACTAAGCATGTATATTTCTTAGTTTTTACTATTTATATACACATCCTATCCGAAATTAATACCTTTAGTTTTTAAGCTATTTAGCTGTGCGCTAGCTACGTATAGCTAACAAGGAAAGATATAAGAAGATTGCGCTCTGTTCATGGATTGCTTGAGAGAAATACGAGGAAAACAAGCTCACGATCCCATGTTCATGGAGAAGATGAATACTACGTCGTCGTCTTGGCGTTGCATATGCGTTCCGGGGCCACTTATCGTGGGTGCAGGGCCTTCGGGTTTAGCCACGGCCGCTTGCTTAAAAGAGAAAGGGGTTCCGAGTGTAGTCCTAGAGAGATCTAAGTGCATAGCGTCGTTGTGGCAACTCAAGACCTATGATCGCCTACAACTTCACCTGCCTAAACAGTTCTGCGAGCTTCCCCTCATGGGGTTCCCTGCTGATTTCCCTACTTACCCTACCAAGCAACAGTTCGTGGACTACTTGGAAGCGTACGCTAGGGAGTTTGGTATCGAACCACGGTTCAATGAGACGGTTTCACGGGCCGAGTACGACGCGGTGCTGGGGTTCTGGCGCGTCAAAAGCGTTGGGATAAAGGGGGAGGTGATGGAGTACGTGTGCCGGTGGTTGGTGGCGGCGACGGGAGAGAATGCGGAGGCGGTGGTGCCGGAGATGGAAGGGAAGGGTGAATTCGGTGGGGACATAAGGCATACGAGTTTGTATAAAAGTGGAGAGGAGTTTAGAGGAAAAAGGGTTTTAGTGGTGGGGTGTGGGAACTCAGGAATGGAGGTGTGCTTGGATCTTTGCAATCATAACGCCAGGCCTTCACTTGTGGTCAGAGATGCAGTAAGAACTACCACTAATCTTTCCCCTTTTTCCCCCCACTGATTTATGATGAAGTTTTATTACAAGAAAATAGGATTTCTCAACATAGCTAAGATCATATCTTGTCGTAATCATCATGAATCTTTACCTTTTTCTGTACCCATGATTAATTTTTCCCACCTGGAAAAGACTAAAGAGACAAACTCCACAGTTAAGGAACTGAAACGTCCTCTCTTTTTAGTCCATTAATAAATCCTTTTTTCTTTGTTTATGGAACTGAAGGTGCACGTCCTTCCACGAGAGATGCTGGGAAGATCAACTTTTGGGTTGTCCATGTGGTTGCTCAAGTGGCTCCCCATTCGGTTCGTCGACCGCTTATTGCTGATCGTATCGTGGTTCATGCTGGGTGACACCGCTCGATTCGGCTTGGAACGACCACGATTGGGTCCCTTGGAACTCAAGAATCTGTCCGGAAAGACCCCGGTCTTAGATGTTGGCACGCTAGCCAGCATAAAAAATGGAGACATTAAGGTACTTTCCCTTTTCTCATTCAGATCACATCACCTTTTTTTTTTCTTCTTTTTCTGTTCAAACCAGTGTTTGATTGATCCTACAAACTGTGTTTGATTGACAACTGTTGATGTTGTAGGTATGTCCGAGCATCAAACGCCTAAAACGATTTGCAGTGGAGTTCGTTAATGGTGAAACCGACAGCTTTGAAGCAATCATTTTAGCAACTGGTTACAAAAGTAACGTACCCTCCTGGCTAAAGGTATACCTTCCCCTTTTATCTTTATTTCCCTCTTTTTTTTAAATAGTTGCAACGTGATGCAAAAAAGGGTTGAAAAGGCTAAAGAAAAAGTGGGAATTGAAAAATATTGACAGGAAGGAGAGATGTTCTCAGAGAAAGATGGGTACCCTCGAAGGCCATTCCCTAATGGGTGGAAAGGTGAAAATGGGTTATACGCCGTAGGGTTCACTAAACGTGGATTGCTAGGTACATCAATGGATGCCAAGAGGATCGCAGATGACATCGAACGGTGTTGGAAACATGATGCCAAACATCGTACGGCCTTCACTCGTTCATCATGATCATGTTCATGTTCATGTTCATCCGTCATTGATTCTTTTTTCTTTTCATTTGGCTGCAATTTTCTGGGTTTTTTTTAATTAAGATGGTCAGATTTTTGGTTGGTGATCGAAGATACCATATAACACACTACATATGGACATTGCAGTGGATTTTGATTGATTTATTGCCCCGGGAAGAGGCAAGTCAAAAGAGTTAAGGGAGAGTAAAGGCAATATATGTTTAACTCTCAATCATTTGACATAGAATGCCGACACCACTAACATTCTTAGTGCTTAAACCCGGGATCTCAAAGAATAACAACGACTCATTTACTATTAAGGTCACTCGATTCGTGTTTTAAGGGTTGGTTTTTTGTTTGGATTGTGGGGACCTAAAATTATCCGTGCATCTTGTACTTTACCAATCTCCTCTAATTAGGCATGATACCTTTTCGTTTGTAGGGGTAGCTTGGTGAGAATTTGGGTGCTGTATGTATAAAATAGGTTTTGTTTTACAAGAGAGCCTGAAATTTAAAAATTAATTCACTAAATTTTACATCCTAAGAGTGTTGTATATTTGGAAATTCAATCATTATTTTGAAGTTTTATTGTTTAGAAAATGCATGTCAAGTCTTTTACAATACATAATTTGTACGAATGAATCTCAATTATTTGACAATCAATAATTAGCTGACCCTATTCCCATATGTAATGGGATAAGGGAGAGGTAGGATAGTAGGCTGCCCCCAACGCCAAATTAAGAACAACTTCCGTGGGAGACCTTCGACAGTCAAAAATTATGAATTACCCACCGTGGGATACGATCCCACGACCACAAGGTTAAGAGCCTTGCGCTCTTACCAACTGAGCTAGACGAGTAATTCATTTGACAATCAATGATTCTATAAAATATTGCATTAGAACTTGAAACTTCAAGAGATAACAATAATATTTTAATCACTGAAATTACTTGTTTCGTGTCTACGTCAAATATTGTATATACTAAAAATGATTAATGCATACAAATTTTCAACCTTTAAATATATATATATATATATCAATAAAAACAATATTCTTGGTCGATAAGATATAGGTACCAAATCAAAAGGTTATTAAAATAGAACTAATAGTAATATGAGCATACCTACCTTATTGTAAAACATATAACTAGATTGACGGCATGGACTAAACAAAAAACAATTCAATAAAAAAATATTAAAATATTCTACTTCATAAACTAATTATCATCATCATTATAACATTTACTTTTTTCTATTTTTTATATAATCTTTAAATAAAATAATTAATACTTATTATTTAAAATTAAATATAAAACTATAAATTTATATACAAATCATTTACCTTTCACTTGTAATTATTTTTTAAATATTTTTTATAAAATTACTTTTTTACATGAAATATTTTAATTCATTAAATGTCAAAATAAAAAAAAAATTAGCTGACCCTTATTCCCATATGTAATGGGATAAGGGGAGGTAGGATAGTAGGCTTCCCCCAACGCCAGGTTGAGAGCAGCTTTCGTAAGAGACCTTCGAATTATGAAATACCTTTCGTGGAACTCGATCCCATGACCATAAGGGGGTGTTTGGTTCAAGTATTGTGGGATTCCTATGGGATGGGAATCCCACTTCCCCATGTTTGATTGGTCGGGAATCTCATTCTCGGTAATGTTTTATTACCAATAGTAGATTTTTTTGGGTATATTACCGGGAATGTCATTACCTCTCTTCCCTTAGGTATTGTAACATTACAGGCGTTTTGGACTAAAATGCCCTTAAATTATTATTTTTTTTCAAAAATATCATTCTTCTGTCATTGAATAATAAAAATTCTACGAAGGTTAAATTACAAATTTATCCTTAAATTATTTTAAATTTACAAAAAAAATCTATAATTAAAATTTTATATGAAGTTCAGGGGTTAAATTTTTTTACCCTTTCATTAAACATTTTTTATATTTTTAATTTTGTAAAAAAATTATATAAATATTATGAATTTAATTTTTAAAGAAAATTTATAAATATTTTACAATTTGTAATATTATACAAATATATAATAAAGATAAATTGGTCAAATATACATTCCAATAATCTTTTATTCCTTTAATCAAACACGATAATCTTACATTCCTACTAAACCAACCAAACATAAAATACAACATTTCCAGTAATCATATTCTCTGGTAATCTTTTATTCTCACTGATAATCTTATATTTCGTGAACGAAGCGTACCCTAAAGGTAAGAACCTTATGCTCTGAGCTAAACGTCAAAAATAGTTGTACGTAAAGCTTCCTCAATCCTCACCGGAAAAAGGGAAAGATAGATCTGTTGCAGCCATTATTTGTCATCTGCAAAAGCTGTTTTGACAAATCACTTGGATTTGAAAGATGGCCTGTCATAAAGGTCTTTAAATCAAATAATAAAAAATTATAAAGAAAATAAATTAAATTCATATTTTAATAATTAAAGCATTAAAACATATCATCCCTCAATTATAGAAGCAAGAAATTTATAAACGAACAAAGGAATTGGTGAAAGAAGGGCAGCTTTTGCATAAGATAAAAAAATAAATTATGTATTTAATACTTAAATTATTAGTTTTAGTTTATCTTAATATCTGATTTTTTTTAAATCACCCCTAACGTTTAGTTTTAATTTTATTTTAGTACCATATCATTAAAATCTTAACGCGTTTATTACTTAAACTATCATTTTTTTGTCCATTTTAATACTCTAAACTTTTAATTTTTTCAAAACTTAACGTTAAATTTTGAACGAGTACTAAAATAAAACAAAAACTAAAATTTTTAACGGTGAAATATTAAAATGAAACAAAAATTAAAGTTTAAGTATAATTTTAAAAAAATTAAAAATTAAAATATTAAAGTGGACTCAAAATTAATAGATTAGACACTAAATGTGTAACTTACCCTAAAAAGAATGGGTAATAATTGGTCGTTTTCAATCAAGTTCAACATTGGGAGCCTAACTATCATGTGTTGGTTAAAACCCATCTTTGTAGATGTATACATGCTGGTGAGATATAGCTTTGCTTGGACCATTCTCCTAGTACTACTATTCATTTCCAACTACCTCTCTCGCCTTTGCTATCTATAATTTAGTTATATATACATATACATTATGTATAAAAACTTTTATTTAAGTTATGCCACGGGTTAAATTAATATTATTTTAATTATAGAAAATTATATTAATAAAAATGAATAAGAGGCTTAAAGTCACTTTTGCCCATATATTAAAAACTAATTTATCAATGTTCTCCCTATCATTTTTTGCATCAATTTAGCCATCGAAATTATTTAGGGTGGTCATTCTAACCCTTTTGAATAACATAATTGTCTTATGTGCTTATCAACACCAGCAAATCCTAGATCCGCTAATATTATGGATGTAGTTTGATGATGACGTGACATATATAAAAAAATAAATAATAAAATATTTACTAGATATAGGTGTTAGGGGAAAATTTCCTTCAAAAATTTGACCTAATTCTTTAGTCTCACTGAAATAAATAATAAAATTTTGACAATTTGTTCTAACCATTATGTTTAATAAATATTTTTCCTAACCTCTTAATCCACAGACGCAGAAGACCCACATTTATGTTAGTTAAAATGATCAATGGGCATCAAGGGTTAGGATGAATATACTAAACAACTTCGAGAGTTAAATTGATGAAAAAAAAAATAAAGACAAAATTAATAATTTAGGCTTATTGCAAGAACAAAAGTGAACCTTAAGTCTAAATAATATTACAATAATATTTATTTTCACAATCTTATAATTTTAAATAAAATAATTAAAAATTATTTCAACGACAAAACTATGCAGTTTGTATTTTTTGCTCTTTATTTTATAATTGATTTTCTTCTTTATAGCATAAGATTGACTGCTGTGAATTTATGGGTGTTTTTACAATTTTGTATACAACCTTATGACGGTAACCTTCTATCTAAACTAAAAAAGGTTAAATTTCAACACACTACTCAAATTATGACCCCAATTTAGATCGGTCTTCACACTTTTGAACTTTTTAATTTTATTTTTAAATTATGGCTTTCATTTTGAATTGATCACTAAACTTTTGACAATTCTAATTTTACTCCCGAACTATCATCATAATTTTAAATTGGTTCTAAATTTTTAAACATTTTAATTTCATCCCAAGCAGTCGATATATACTTAATAAAAATTGTTATAAAACTAGCTAACTGCTATATATGTAAAAAAAATAAAGTGAATTATCTATAATTTAGGTATAAAGATTTGATTTTATGTATCTATATAGTATTATCAAAAAATAATAATATACAAGGGTTGGTGGGCAATGGGAGGGGCTCTTCCCCTTCCCAATATTTTTGATTTAATAACATTTTAGGTAGGGCTGTTCATTCGGTTTAAACCTAACCGAATCGAATCGAATTAACTATAACCGAATTAACCAAACTTTTTTTTTTCTTTAACCGTTAACCGAACCGAACTTTTTTTCGAAAATATTAACCGAACCGAATAAATTTCGGTTAATTTGTATTAACCGATTTTTTTTTTTAAATTTTATAATTTATATAAAAATTAAATATTTTTTAATTCAAAAAAAAGTTTATAATTAATTTAAATAATATATAATTATAAAATAAAAATTTCAGATAAATTTTCTAATTATTTAATATTGATTTAGGTTTAAAAGTTATTGGATCTTAAATTATTAATTGAGTTTTAAATGGTTTAGGCTTAGCCCATATGTTATATAATATATTTAATATTTTTTAATTAAAAAAACAGTTTACAATTAATTTAAATAATATATAATTATAAAATAAAATTTTATATAAAATTTTAAATTAATTAATATTGATTTAGGTTTAAAAGTTATTAGATCTTAAATTATTAATTGAGTTTTAAATGGTTTGGGCTGAGTCTATATGTTATATATAATATATTTAATATTTAATTTCGGTTAATTAACCGAATTCGAACC